TCTGTATTGTAAAAGGGAGACATGAAAGAACTCCTTTCTTTTGCTCCCTCCAAGATGGGTTGGGCAGAAACGGGGCTCCTGCGACCCCCCAGTGCAAAAGGGAAAGGAGAAAGAGCTCCCTTCTCTCTTCCTCTCAGCAGCCCAAGCCAAGAGCTTGGGGTGGGGAGAAGGGAAACCAGCTGGGCTTCTAATCGCCCATCTAAATCTGCCACATCTCAGGTTTCCAGGCTAGAAGATTCAAAGAACCTGACTTCTAGTTTACCAGCTGGAAGTTGGTTCCTGATTCCCCCTCCTCCTTGAGGGTACACAGCACAATTTCCCCAGCAGGAGATCAGAACCTGATTCCCATTTGATCCCTCATCAGCTGGGAGTCGGCTTCTGATGGCTGCCGGAGGAGGCCTGTTCCTCTGAATGCCTGTGAACAGGTTTCAAGACACTCCATTGATTAATTGACCACCACTGATGAATGGTAAGTGAGCCAAATCCACCAGGAGTTCAAGCATCCCTCGTTACATCCCAGCCTCCCAGGGTCTCAAGCTGAGGTCTTTTGCGTTATTTACCGCCTGATCCTTTTAGAGATGCTGGGGACTGAACTTGGCACCTTCTGCATGCAAAGCAGACATTCTACCACCGAGCCACACACAGGTCACCCCCAGGGCTGCCAAACTCCAGGTGATGGCTGGGGACCTCCAGCTATTACAACTGATCTCCGGTGACGGGAGCCAGTTCACCTGGAGAAAATTGCTGCTTTTGGAAGGTAGACTGTATGACATTATACCCCATTGAAGCCCCGCTTCTCCTCAAACGCCACCCTCCCCATGCTCTGCCCGCCACCCCAATCTAGATGACTTAGACTCGCACTTAACGAAGGGCTGGGCTGTGTGCGAAGTGCGGTCTCCAAGAGTTGCCATTTCTACATCCCTTCATCCAGGTACCATCAGGAGGTCCATCAAGTGAGGTCCATCAAGACGGACAGCCGTGTTAGCCTGCCTGCAGCAGTAGAAAAGAGCAAGAGTTCGGTGGCCCCTTAAAGACGAGCAAAATATGTGGCAGGGGAGGAGTTTTTGTGAGTCACTGCTCACTTCCAAGATGGGTAGCCGTGTTAGCTCACTTCTTCAGATCTGAAGTTTTGTCAGTCTTTAAGATGCTACTGGACTCTATTGACTGGAGGGTATTGAAAACAGATCAGCCAATATCATAATGCCCCTATATAAATCAATGGTGCGACCTCATCTGGAATACTGTGTGCAATTCTGGTCACCACACCTTAAAAAGGATATTATAGCTTTGGAAAAAGTGCAGAAAAGGGCAACTCGAATGATAAAAGGGTTGGAGCACTTTCCCTATGAGGAAAGGTTAAGGAGCTTAGGGCTCTTTAGCTTGGAGAAACGACGACTGAGGGGTGACATGACTGAGGTTCATAAGATTATGCATGGGAAAGAGCAGGTAGAGAAAGAGGTACTTTTCTCTCTTTCTCACAATACAAGTACTCGTGGGCACTCCATGAAATTGCTGAGCGGTCGGGTTAGAACGGATAAGAGGAAGTACTTCTTCACCCAAAGAGTGATTAACCCATGGAATTAACTGCCACAGGAGGTGGTGGCGGCTACAAGCATGGACGGCTTCAAAAGGGAATTAGATAAGCATATGGAGCAGAGGTCCATCAGTGGCTATTAGCCACAAGGTATAGATAGGGGCTCTGGGGCAAGTGATGCTCTGTCTTCTTGGTGCTTGGGGGGGGGTCAACAGTGGGAGGGCTTCTAATGTCCTGGCCCCACTGCTGGACCTCCTGATGGCACTGGTATTTCTGGCCACTGTGTGACACAGAGTGTTGGACTGGATGGGCCTTTGGCCTGATCCAACATTGGCGT